CGATGGAAGGGTTTAAACCTCCAATAAACCGTGCTATAGTACTTTCTTCGGGTTCCACCAAGTTGCATTTAAGCATTGGTTGTTTGAATTCAACCGTATTACTCCCCATCTAGAATTCTTGTTGTTGAAAATGGTACAAGCGAAGGAACATATCCTGCAGGTAGAGGGCCGACAAGATTTTTTGTTACATTTCCTTCTTCATCTTGTCCTAAGAGTTGATCTTGGTTCTCCCCTCTCATTGTCTTGTGCGCTTCAAGTTCTCCCACCACAAAGATTGTTGCCTTTTAATTTGATTGCTACCAGTTTTACGCAAGAGGTACTTCTTTATATTCAAGAATTCTTTCTACAGTGTGAAGCCAATTAAGAAATTCATCATGGTCCAATCTTCTTTCAAAATCCGGAATATCGATCTTAATGCCGAAGTCGCGAGGCAGTCTTCTTGGTTCACGTCGATAGTAGCGAAAAGGTGAGTTTTCTTCTCCACTAGAAACTTCTTGATGAAAAGATTATCTTCCTCCATTTGACAATCTTCATCATTCCAGCGTTCTATTGGATGATGAAGCTCCATCACTACAAGCCTTTCTTCAAGTTGGTGAATCTCCCTTTGCAAGCCTTCCATAGAGGATTCTTAAATTGGTCAATTTTCTAGCTTTCAAATAATGGTCAAGCAACATCCTTGGTCCTTAGGGTATCAACAACAAGGGAAGGCTCAGATTTTAAGACAAGATCTGAAGTTGGTTCCAAGCTTTGTGTAAAGCCAAAATTAAAGAAGGAAATGCTCATACTTGTTAACGGCGAATGGCGCACCATGGCGCAAAGGTCCTATTTGAGCCATGGCGCATATCGCACAGCACAGCGCACACCATTTTAAACATGTCGCAAATTATAAAATAATAAGCATGAATATGAAATATTATTAAATTGAAAGATAAACTATCATAATAACAAGCAAACAACGACAATACAAATAAATAACAACCCAACATAATTTCAATTCCAATAAGTAGTCAATCTTTATACAACTAAAATATATTTAAATGAAAGCAAATAGCATTAAAAAGATAATAATATGCAATCTAACATTTATCTTAATTCTTTTAATATATTTAAAAATTAGAAAATATATTATCTAAAAAAATATATAAAAAATATTTATAATTACAGTAAAAAAAATTTAAAACAAATGGCGCACGCTATTTTGCGCCGTACGCCATGCGCCATGGCGCGCATGTGGCGCAAATAGCGCGCGCCATTTTGAATGTTTGCGCCACGCCATATACATGGCGCCGTAGGTGCACCGCGCCGCGCCGCGTGCCATGGCACGCGCTATTTTGTGCCATTGACATCTATGGAAATGATACCATTATGTTTTTTTAGTATAATTTTGATCATTTGTATGCTCCCCATTTTTGTAAGTGTTAGAATCAACAAAAGATGATTTATTCAACTTTGGTTAAGCCTTGAAGCATTTTGAGTATTTATGACAAACAATTTTTAAAGAAAAATAATAAAAAGGCAGCCTTCTACTAATAATTACATGTAGATGGACCAATCTAAATCTCATTTTTTAAAGGTATAGTATGATGCCAGTGCTAACAAGACATGTTGGTTCAACCAAACAGTTTAGCGATCAACCCAATTTGAATTTTTTTTATATTTTATCCTATTGATAGTTATCTCAGTCATCAATATGATTAGCTCTTATCTTATCCTAGTCATCAAGGGGCTCAATTCTTATAAATAGAGCCTCCTCCTTCTACTGTAAGGAGTTTTTTTATTAGAAATAAAATTTTAGAAATTAGTTTTTTGTCTTTGTACTTTTTTATATCCTGGAATGACTTCCAAGTGGTGGCTGCTCATCCTCCTTCCCCAATAGTTCATTCTTCTGTCGGTTACTCTCTTCTCTTCTCTTCTCTTCTCACAACATCAGCAACCTCCTCCTCCAATTCTCCCTCTTCCAGCCGCCCGCCAAGTCTTCTTCCATCCATCGGTTGTGCTCCTCCTGCACCGCCAACCCTCTTCTAGCCAACGCCAACCCTTCTCTCCTGACCCAGAAGTCGACAACCTACAAGTACCTGCAAGACCTGCTCTCTATCCCCCTTCTTCTCTTCTTTCAGCCATCGTTTCTACCTTCCAACTGACTAAATGATTGTTGTAATCCTTCCAAGAAATCCATTTGTTGTTGTTTTCCATGTAATCTAACCTCTAGAACAACCCAACCAGCAAGCAGCTAGAAGTATTTCTTCCCTTCCTGCTGACATTTTGTATCTCTCAGCACTTCGGCAAGGGCTTTCAACCCTCCTCACAACAATTGTCCTTCTCCTCCCTCAAGAAAGTGGTAGTTTAGAGAAATTTGAATTTTGCAATCCTCAATAACACCTCTAATAAATAGATATACGATGCTTGGATCCACCATTTGTGTTAGCTCCTCGTGATCACCTTGTTGTTGAGGATGTTGGAGACCTAGATTCTAACCACTCGTATGCTTTCATTAGTATTATCCGGAGAATCAAAACGCAGGTATGCAGAAAGTTTCAAATCTTATTTTCTATGAGAGGCAAAATTAATATAAAAAAAGTATGTTTCCACTCATCAAGCTTTACTAGATTACAAGCAAGTCACAATAATCCACCAAACGGCTTTGGTGCTCTTTATTTATGAACCAATTATAGGAATCATCCATCCATCATTCCATCAAATGGATACTTTCTTCCATGTTATAATGTTATCTTCTTCTTTTTTAACTTTATTGCCATGTAATTCTTTATAATTGTTTCAAGTTGTACTCATTTCAATGATTGATTATAAAATTTGCATTTTAAAAAATCCAGCATAGGCAGTTTTAAAATAAAATTTAAAATATTTTTCAAAAAATATTTAATATTAAATATAAGATAGCAAACAACTTACAATTTATAACATCTACTCTTCATATTCTGAAATAGTTGAATGATTACTTCATTATCAATAGAATCTAAATTTTCTTTCTCAATATAAGCAATTAATAAATCATTCATCCATTGATCTCCAATCCTATTCCGCAGCCGATTCTTTATAATATTCATAGCAGAAAATGCTCTTTCGACGCCTGCTGTAGCAACGGGTAATACCAATGTCAGTTCAAGTAGTATAAAAACAGCCGGTTCCATGTTATAATGTTATCTTCTTCTTTTTTAACTTTATTGCCATGTAATTCTTTATAATTGTTTCAAGTTGTACTCATTTCAATGATTGATTATAAAATTTGCATTTTAAAATATCTAATAGTTTGCTAAGTATCTGTTAATAATATGGTCATTTTCTAGCAACCATCAAGATAAAGAATGCATCTCTAAGCAGTGGCGAAGCCAGAAAATATATATTGAGGGGGGCCTAAATTATTTTCGTAAAATTTACTCTCAACTTTTTTCATCCGGGCTTGGGACCAGCATAGGCAGTTTTAAAAAAAATTAAAATATTTTTCAAAAAATATTTAATATTAAATATAAGATAGAAAACAACTCATAATTTATAATGTCTACTCTTCATATTCTGAAATAGTTGAATAATTACTTCATTATCAATAGAATCTAAAATTTCTTTCTCAATATAAGCAATTAATAAATCATTCATCAATTGATCTCCAATCCTATTCCGCAGTCAATTCTTTATAATATTCATAGCAGAAAATGCTCTTTTGACGCCTGCTGTAGCAACGGGTAATATCAATGCCAGTTCAAGTAGTATAAAAACAGCCGGATATATAATATCTTTCCTGGTTTTGATCATTTTCTCAACAAGACTTCCTATATCTTTTAATGAAGAGAACTGATCATCAAATCATATATCAATAATATAAGTATCCAATTGATTTTCAAGAATCGTCTGATCAAAAAGACTAAAATCAGCTGGATAAAACTGTGTCATCCTAATCAACTTATATTTGTTGAATGCATTAAAACCATTATTGAGGCGGGTACGATATGCAATTGTAGCTTGATCTGATTGTTTCTGGAAAAGAAATCCAATATGTTAGCTTTGTCTCATTAGGTCTTCACAACTTCGTCTAGCATTATTATGTGTACTGTTATGACTTCCAACATGAAGATCAAATTTGTTTGTTTTTTTCCAATTTGAAAATCCTTTTTTATTGAATGCCTATTCCTCTTCGTTGCCTCTCCCGGATGTTCTGAAAGATAACAATATAGACAATATGTTTTGTCTTTACATATGCTATACTCTAGCCAATTAGAATATTTGTCAAACCAACTAGGATTAAAGCGCCTATCTTTCATCCCACATTTACTTTTCGGGAAATCATGGCTACGAGGTTGAAATGACCCTTTTTGTAAATATGTTCTCCAAATTTCATCACGAATGTTATGATTAAAATCAGTAATAGGAATTCGTAGTCCTGGATCAAATGGAAGATTTTCTACACTTAATTCCACATTGCTTGTTTTTGGTAAATCAACATCCACTCAAATGCGTCTTTCATTTTGCACTTCAACCTTATTGCTATTTTCATCTGTATCATTTGATGCTTTTGAACTCGAAGATCACTTGACATATCTCTCCATGGTGTTCGAAATTGTACTCAAAGATCACTTGAAACAAATTCTGATTGCTAAGAAAAATTTATTTATCAAATTATAGCGAAAACTAATTGAGATGAAGGCATTAAGCATGAATGTATTGCTACCATTGACCAACTGTTGAGTGTTGAAGAAGATTATTAGAAAAAGAATCATCTACAATCACGTTTTGTTCAATACCTAAAAGGCTCAAAGATCTACTGTTGCTTTTTTTCTAAAATGATCTTTTGCAGTTTTGAAATTTTTTAATCTTCTAACTTCTAAGACCTAACGTCTTCTATGAAAATCCAAATCAAAATCAACCGGATTGTTTTAATGTTTTGTTCCTTAATCAGTTTAGAAACATAAAGTGTAAACTGAAATCAACCAAAACAACATAAAATAACTCAGTAAAGATTACTGTATAAAAAATATTATTGTCTTTACCTCTCGGCGTTCTCACAGCAGGCTCGCAGTCTCGCAACGTCTGCAGTCCGCCGGACAACTGCCACGTCGCCTCTCCGCTGGCGTAGGCGTGAAGCCCGGCTTCCGGCGATAGAGGAGAAAACGAAATCGCGGCACGCGTGAAGCTCCGAAGGTCCGAAGCGGAAGACCTAATTCAGATTAAAAAAAACCGATTAACTGGTACTTAACTGGTTAAGTACTTAAGTATAACTGGTACCACGTGTAAACTTCGGCAGTTCGCAAATGGGCAATCATCTTCACAGTAGGATTTGCATCGATAGTCATCTTTTTTAACCGAAAAACAAGCCCACCCTTTCATCAAAACTCCAAGAAAAGTAATTATAACTTCACCCAAAAAGGGCAAACACAATCCAACACTTGAACCACTCAACACAATCAAATATATTCTTCATGAACGTTAAAAAAAAAAACAGGGAGAGAAAGAGAAGAAGGTTCTCACCTCTGCTTGAAGAGAGAGCAAGCGAACTCCTTCCTCTCGTGGCTTCGAAGAAAGGTAATTCGTGAAAGTAAGGAGAGGGCGAGAAAAGAGAGGGAACCGAATAAATAGTTGATCGGAAAAAGAAAAAAAATAAAAAATAAATTAAAAAGAAAATAAAAGCGTAGAAGTTGCTCTACAAACTGGCAGTGAAAATTAATATTATTACCATAAAAAAATAATAAATATATTATTAATAAATTAATAAGATGTGATTAAGAAATAAAGCAGAGGGCATTAATAGAATTTACCCTGAAGTTGGCTGATCTGCTGCACAGCTTGAACACCCAACAGAAAATCAACCAATAAAAATAATGAGGTTTAAGAAAATCAACCGCTCCGATTAGATTTAATTTTAGACTCATGGAATCTAGAATGCAGCTGGTGCACGGTAGATATTTGGAGGAGCAATGGATTTGACTCTTGACTGCAGCAAGGAGAAGACCTGGGTCAAAAAACAATATGTTTTCGCAATTATTTTGTGAAATAAAAATTTAATTACATTTTTTAGTTATTTTTATGTATAAAATAATTTTAATATATACTCTTATACTTTTTAAGATCTAGAAATGAAAAAGACATCTCACCTTAAGATATTTGGATGATTTATTTTTTCACTTTTTCTAAAAATATATTTTATTCACATAAAATTAACATATAGACATCATGCAAAAATATATATATTTTTTTTTTTATATTTTTATCTATAAATTATTTCTCCAATTTTTTTCAATGAACTATTATTTAAATTTTAGAAATATGCAAAATATAAAAAATTATCTCATACTTCTTTTATTTCAAAGTTCAAATATTGAACAAAAAAAAATCATATATATAATGCAATTGGAAGCCTAATGGGTCCACCGAATGGGCGGTCAATGATAGCAAATGATTATAATAAATTATAAATGTGATACCCATAGTCATATTCGCCTTCAATACCCATTTATTTTATTTCAACATGTTTTGTACGTGCACAGATTGTTCAACTCGATTTTCATTTTTTTAATTTCAAATTTAAATTTTTAATTAAAAACATTAAAAAAATATTTGAAATGTAATTTTAATATATTTTAAAGCATGCATGTAATATATTTTAAAATATTTTTATGCATAAAATTTAAAAATAATATTCATTAATTTCATAAATATGTTAAAAACATTTAAGAGTCAATAGAGCTTAATAAACTATTCCAGCAATTTGCTTTTTATAAACCAAATACCTAAAAAAACATTTTCATAAATGTTCTAATTTCCAGCAATACAATTAGAAAGCAAACGGTCAAAAATTCAAAATTCCTTTCCAAAATTTTGTGATTAACAAAATTTGAACGCTCTGAAATAAGGCAATAATATAGTGCTGAACACATTGCTGGGCAGCTTTACCAAATGTTTATGGCGTGAAAGAAGAGCGTAATCACAGAGATTCTTCAGTCCTCATCTTCTTTGATAGATCATGATCATCTCTCTTATCTTTCATCTTACCCTCACGACGTTCCCTCTTCAAGCCTTTTATATTATTAGATAGCGCAAGACCTCCAACCTACAAAGCAGTTCAGTTAAATTAAAAGGGAGAGGAGCAAAGAAATGAAAGGGAGAAATTTTAGGAAAACATAAATTTGTTCCGAATAAGATTTTGGCTTCTTTTGGAACGGCTTTTTTATTGCTTCTTCAAACAGCTTTCTAGTAAAAAATTATAATTTTTGTGCTAAAAAGTTGATTTAAGTAGCAATAAAAAAGCCGTCTCAAACAAAGGCTTTGTTTGAGACAAATTTCTTATTGCTTCTTAAAACAATTTTTTTAATATAATTTTTATTAGAAAACTGATTTAAGAAACAGTAAAAAAATCTTCCCAAATGAAACCTAAGTTTAATAGCCATTGAATTTATTTTGAACTATGCATTAATGTCAAAGCAAAGTCAATAAACATCAAATAAATTTTCACCAAATTTGAATCAGAAAATCCTTATATCATTCTTGTGATGTTATAAAAAAGCCTACCTGTTGATCAGGCATGTAGATTTTCCCTATTTTTCCCTTTACTTCATCCCGGCTGACATTTTTTATCTGCATGAAAATGAAAACGGCTAAGAATCACAAGTTTTAACTAATAGTTTAATAACTTCGATTAAAGATTATCCAGATTATGAATACTTTTTAAGATAAAGTAAAGTTACATCAGCTGGCCAAAAGCTTCATCAGGATAGCATAACCCAAATTGGCCCAGTATATCGAGAGAGAACAGAAAACTGAACCAACAAACTTCTCATGGTAAATTTTGCTGAGATTCATCAACTATCATGGACGATGCTGGACATAAATTTCTGACATAGAATGACTGGTGTAAAATTCCATAAATATAATGCAGAATAATAGCCATTTTCCCTAGAGTTTTCTATATTTGTGATCCCTGATTGTACATGAACTATTTCAGCATATTCAATAGATGTGTCACATCAGCATATGAGAAATAATTACTGGAGACATACTGACTTGTAAAAAGTACAACAATCTGCTTCTGGAGAAATTATTAGGTGCGGAGTCCGGACGTAGAGATATGTCCGGAGATCCACTTAAAATTTGACATGATGAGTGCATTTTGGTTGCACTTTTTTTTGTATGTTTTACATGTGCTTTAGTTGCGTTTTGACTATTCTTTTGTTGCACTTTGATTGTGCTTTATCTTCGCTTTGGATACGTTTTTGATGCGCTTGACATAAAGTTCCACGGACGCATTAAATATATAAAGTAAAAAAATAAATTCAATTGAATATCCACATGTCCACTCCACATGTCAACATTTTATTGGAGTCCGGACATATATCTATATCCGTACTCCTCACCTAATAATTTATCCTGCTTCTGAGCTTGTTCTTAATTGACTGAATCCAACAGCATTTAAATGACAGACTAACAAGTTTACATATTGAATTACGCATGATCAAAACTGCAACAGGACTAAAGATTATCTGGAAAAAAAGAGGAACAAATGCAACAGCACAAGTTTGAAGCTTACTCAGAGGTAAATTTTAGACTAACCTTCCTTGGCTGCATGGGTGCAGCCTTCATTGCTTGTTTCTTTACAGCTTCATTTGGAAGACGATGTCGCCGAACAACCAGATCCATGGAAGGGCCAACTTCAATGAGCTCTATTCTAGGAATGGATGTGCCGGACTTTTTAAGTCGGATAGCACAGTGTTTGAATGATACTGTAGTAGATGAAATGGCCGTGCACACAAATACCCTATCTACTCCAGTAAGGTTTAGATTTTCCACAATCTGGCAAAAAACCATTTAGTTTCATAAGTGAAAAAATGAGGGGATATAACCATACGCGGGGAAATGGGAAAATTATCATAAATATCAAACCTCTCCCCTGAAATGATCAAGTAAGACCTCCTTCAGATGCTTCAGTTCATCAACACTCTCAAAGTTTTCTCCTATAAAAGCAAAGAAGGGCTTTGAACCTTGCCGTGGTGCTATCTTCTTGTCATATTTGAATGATTCAATAGGCGTGAAGTTCTCCACTCCAACTTCAACAAGATCATAAATGTGATGATCATACATCCGCCCAAGAATTAGATTGTTGGGCCGTTTTTTTGAATGTGAACCAAACTACAGAAAAAAACTTAGTTATCTCTATGGTAAACATCAATCAAAATTTCCCCTTTGTAATAATGAAAGATGATATGAAAATTAAACTAAAGGCCTCAACCAAAGTATGAACAAGCCGGCAAAGTATCATAAATTATAATTTTAAGGTTCAAATCTGAAAAGAATTGTTTTCATGTGAATCCATTATGAAGTCAACATCCAAAAGATCTAAGCTAGCTAAAACTCATTTGTTACCGAAGAATATTGCTTATTAGAAAATTAGAATCACTCACAAAGATGCACTAGGAAGGAAAAGTTTTTTCCATAAAGATCTCCATGTAATTTAGCTGATAAAACTATATTCAACTTAAAAGAATGTTTGAATTTTGAAGCATTTGAAAGCCATTTATAAAGCGTGGAAAAGTTATCCGCTCATGAATTGTTAGATTGTCTGATAAGCAATAAGAAAGAATTGAGAAAGTGGGCCACTTAATCTATTTTGGTTGGAGAAGATAGAAGAAAGTAACTCTCACCCAATAAGTAACAAGAAAGATTCTTAGCCATGTTTGGAGGATATAGAAGAAAGTAGCTTCTCATCCAATAAGTAATAAGCAAGACTCTTAGCCATTAAGTGATGTGAAACTACAAGGAGTTTGATTAGAAATTTAAAAGAAAAGATTAAAGTGTTGCTTCTTATGAATTTAAAACTAGCACATAAAAACTGAGTTAGGGATTTGAAAATGTCAACTTGCTTAGGCCAAAGATTCGCAATAGAGATTAACCAAGCCGATTCAATCCAAGTTCTAGGAGAATTTCACGATGAGCGTAGGATGTTGATGCTTCCGTCGGCGTTGAAGACCAATCCCCATTCAAACTCCGGATCCGCCATTCATGCTTGGGTTAGGGGATTCTTCAAGTGGAGGAGAACTAGAGGATGGTAGTAGAGACTCCTTGCTTTGGTGGGAAGAAGGGAGGCGAGAGGTGGGAGAGCCGGCGGGAGATCACTGAGGTGGGGCGGCGGGTTCCAAGAGGGGAGGAGTAGGGTTTGAGAAATTCAATCCAAGTTAATTCCTCAATAATTCTGAAATAAATTTCAGTTTTAATCAAAATCTGAATTTAATTTCAGATTTAATTAAATTTGGAGGGAGATTAATTTGAATTCGGATTTTGAAATAGGTGTAATGAATGCATTAACATTGCATTAATGGGATTCCTCCTTGGGTGGCCGGCGGCATGGGTGAGGGAGGGAAGAGATTTACTAAAATCTGAATTTAATTTCAGATTTCAAGTAAATTTGGAGGGGGTTAAATTGGATTTGAAATTTGAATCAAGAGAATTAATTGTCATTAAACTAGCCTTAATTGGGATTCCCCCTTTGATGGGGCCGGAGGCTAGGAGAGAGGGGAGGGGGTGAGGAAGCAATTGCACACTTTCCAAATGGGTTGTTGCCACCTAGGATGAAAAATTAGTAACTCCTCATGTGAAGAAATTTGAATTGGATCAACTTCGAAACTTTCCTTTTTTGGAAGATTTCAAATAAGGAAAGTTTTGAATTTCAAAATTTGAAATTCAAAATGTAGTAACTTCCTCATTCATTGCTATGCAACAATCAAGGAGCCACTAGGATGATGTATGTCGTCACCATGGGTGGATCATGGGGTGGCCGGCGGCTAATGTAGGAGGAGGGGTAAGGTGGCCGACGGGTTGGGTGGGGTTCTTTTGGCGGAGCTTGGAATTCTAGTGGTGGAAACGAGTGAGTGGTTCGTGGGAGAAAGGATCTTGGGTGGAGATTGGCGTGGGGTAGGGAGAATCGAAATTAGACAAGAACATAGAAAGATAAATTGAACCACGAGTCGAGGACGCTTCCAACGACTGGTGGGTAATGCGAATGCTCACCTTGAGCTCCTCCTTCTCAAGCACTCATGCAAGACGAAGTAGAAAGTAGAACACAAATGTCATTCAAATATTCATTAAAAAAAATTAAAATGATACAAGAGACCACTATATATAGGTCTTGACTCATAAAAAATGAAAAAGACTAAATTGCCCTCTAAGCTACAAAGAAACATAACTCCCCACAGGGGTAAAATGGGAAAACAGTAAATCAAACAATACAATAATAATAAAGTACATCATGTCATCTAAATCAAAAGTAGAGACGCTGAATCGTGGCCGTCGATCTGCGGTTTCGCCAGCGATAAACATTTCGGTAGCGTCTGTCGATGTCCTCATCATTAAGTCTGGGCTCATTTGCTCTAAAAACACTTACGGAGGACATTAAATGCCATTTTCAGTGCTGCTTCAATTCCGAATTTTTCTGGTAAACTAGTAATCATTTAGCAAAATATTGCCATAAATAAATGATTCTTTTGTGAGCAGAAGTACAAAACTGTGGAAAGAAGCAAGAGAAAAATAAGATCCAAAGGCAGTGAAAAGAAGAAGGGAACGATAGAACTGCAGCAAGGAATTAAAAGCAAAGGGCTAGCCATAAATAACATGTTACACTAAAAATAGCTCAGTAGACATGCCGATGAACTACAAAAATATGGATACTATAACTAATAATCATCACCTAAAACTTTATTGAACCAATTGACATACAAGTATCAGATCAATTTAAAAAAAAAAAGATCCTTTAAAGAGGCTCAACAGTAAATTTTCCTATGATAAAAGAAAGAAAGAAATGATGTATAAAATCAAGTTAAACAAAGCAAAAAAATTATTCACTTATGATTAAAACCAAAAAGCATTAGGCCGTATAAATGTCTCGGTCCAGAAGAATTAATTACCACAAAAAAACTGCAGTCAGTTTTGAGTGAAAAGAATTCCAAAGATGTTTCTCCACTGCTTTCAAAGGGCCTTATGTTCTCATTCTTCCTACTAAACTTCACAGCAAGACCCTTTTTCAAATGAAAAATCTGAGCTAACACAGCATTCAAGACACAGCTTGTCTTTGTACCATGGAGTATCAGAGTCTTCTTGGCATTCTCTACCTGAAAAACATATGGAGAACCAAAATAGTGGGGAGAAGTTTTTATTCCAATATCCTAATCAATATGTGAAGAAGCAGAATTGAAAGCAATTAGAGAGAGTTCATGATAAAAATAGTAATAAATAATTACTAGTTTAGGGGCACGCTTGTCAAGTGCTCGTTTCGCTTTCAATGTCTTCGGAGTTTTAATTTTCAGCATATTATCACCTAAAACAGAAGGAATTAGGCTAAATACTTACTGATGATGCTAACCGCTTTGCTAAATGACTATAGAAACAAAATATTACAAAAAAAATACCAACAGTAATTATGAGTTATAAACAAGAAGCCAGAAATCTCTAAATAGATGTAACGAGAATTTAATTTGCTTTATATAATATCTCAGCATCGCACTCATCATCATCAGCCTAATCTCAACTATTTGGGGAAGGTTAAAACAAGCATCCGAAGATGTTAATAACAAGTTTCAAAGTTCTTATATCAAGGAAAGCCAATCTTATTATTAATCTGATAAAAAACAGGGGGAAATGGAGAACAGATAACTTTTTTTTTTCAAGTTATCTAGCACGAATTTATTCAAAAAGTACACTCTAGAGCAAAGTAGACTAAGAAAGCCCTCTAACACGATAAAAATATCGTGATGAGAATTTGGCATCAGTTGCAGCAAAATCTCAATGAATATAGCTGAAATAGAACATAGACAAATAGGCCAAGTTAATTCGATACAATTTCAATAAAAATTCATCAAAATGAATCTTTTTGAAGAAATTTTTGGAACTCCCAAAAACAAAAGTTATTAAAGATGAATGAAATTTTAAAATTCAGCAATTCGAACAAAATGTGAAGTGATTAAAGAAGTTTGCACGTGAACTTTGCCCAATTGAAAAGCAACAAATTGCAAAAACATTCCAAGTAGAGTTGATAAACGCCATGTAATGTAGGATGATACCTTCAAAGGGTCTTTATTAAACTTCAGCTACCTCGAGAAAGGGGGTGATAGAGCAATCAATTAAGTGCTTGTGGGTTTCCTGGGTATAGCATCTCAAGGATTTGTAAAGACATTGATTGCAACATTATACATCCTTAAAAGTAGGACCATAGATCATTTTGTCGGCAAATATAGAAGTCAAATGTCAATTTAGTCCAAGTAAATTATAACGGATCATGTCCTAGGGTGAGAGCAACCATGATTAGACAACCCAAGGATTGCATTTAATCATGCCCGAAAAAACAGTCATACAATTTGTCAAACTGCTAAACTTAAATATAATGATTGAAGAAAAGAAGAGAATGTCACAATTAAGAAGGTTCATCTTCATTCTTTTAGGCAAAGTGGCTTTGTTAGACCGGTTCAAGGACCGGCTGAACTGGCCCATCCAGGACCCGTTCATGTTTATGAGAGACAGACAAGGATTCCCCCTAGGAAGGGGGTAGACAGCTCAGGTGGGGCCCAGCAGTAATAAGCACTAATTGTGGATGGGTTTGGGAGGGAAAATTCAAAGTTAAGGAGCTGCTTAGGGATTAGTTAAGTGTATGTTTGCTTTAACTAGATTTTTTTCTCTAGGGTTAGTTTTATCTTGAATTTGAACAGAAATTTCGGAACTTGGTGAGTTTGCTTGGGCCCTAGTCTCCGACTAGGGATTGGGAGAGCCGGATCTTCCTCTCAAATTGAAGATCCACTGTACCTTTCTTGTTTTCTTTTGTTATTAATCAATCAATAGTGTTTTTCTTGTTTTTCCACCATTAAATTCTTAAATTTTGCTTGGCACGGCTGGTGAAATTCAGATTTCAGCAATTGTTCTATGTTTTATACCAATATTTCCTAAAAATTGGTGTCAGAGGGGTGTCCAGGACTGCTTTGGTTGATTCCTGCAGCAGTTTTTCACCCTTGAACAGCTGTTTTTGCTGTTTCTGGAGTGGAATTACGAATTTTTTAGTCTAACAAAGATCCGGGCATCGATGGAGGCCAAGAAGGTTGATGCTTTGGATGAATGTCTTGAGGGGGAGATCAGTCAAATCAAAATGACATTGAAGGATAGAATTTCCTCCATGGAAGACAAATTCTCGGACCTATAAGAGATGGTGAAAAAGATATAGGATCTTCGGAACCAAATGGCGGCATCAGAGGCAAGAGTGTCGGCATGGAGAAATACAAATTCTAATAATCGTAGGGATGAAAATGATGTGGAGATCATAGAGGGGGAAGGGAGAAGACCTCCTATGGAACCTTTTCAGAGAGAGTTGAGGGCTGAAAGGTATGGGGAGAGGCATGGATATGTGGAGTATGAGCAAAGGGAGTGCTGTTGAGGAAAGAAGGGAAGGAGATTACGGCTGGGGAGGTGCTGATTTTGAAGGAAGTAGGGGAGAAATCGAAGAAGTATTTGGGTATGAACGTGGAATGGATGATCAGTACACTTGGGGGGACCACCCACTTGGGGAAGGGGAAATTATGGAGGAATTAGGGGAAATGAAGGGGATTCGAAGGTCAAGAAGCTGAAGATGCTCATCTTCGAGGGGGAGGATGCACATGGGTGGATCTAAAAGGTAGAAAGATATATCATCATCAATGGATTGACGGAGGATGAGAGATTGATGGAAGTCGGCCTATGTTTGGAAGAAAAGGCGCTGGCCTGGTACCACTGGAGAGACATGAGGCAACCCATACGGAGTTGGAGGGAGATCAAAGAGTGCTTATTAGAACGTTTTTGAACCAACAGAGGAGTGGACTTCTATGAGCAGTTCTTTGCCGTGATACAGGAAGGCTCAATGGCAAAATACCGCGAGAGCTTTGAGTACTTGGTGAGTCGACTGGAACTGTTGTTTGAGACTATTCTGGAGGGGAATTTCATGAAAAATGCTCAAATCAAAGATCCGAGCAGCAGTGAAAGTCATGAGACAATGTGACTTGGGAAAGGCTATGAAGTTAACTCAGCTGGTGGATGATCAAAAGTACTAGGAGTGGAGAGCCAGAGGCGGCAGTTAAAGTGGCTCATACAGGATGAGCGGATGACCATCACTTCTTAACACTCGAGGGGCCTACACAGGGCAACCTTCGTGAGACCCCAAGAGAGAAACTTGTTGGAGGGGGAAGGGGAAATTTTAAAGAGCTTACGGAGAGAGAGCAGCAAGAAAAGAAGGCGAAGGGATTATGCTCCAAGTGTAATGAGTATACTCCAGGGCACAGGTGCAGGGATCAAACTATTCAGGTTCTCACCATTTATGGTGACGAGGAAGCTGAAGAGAGAGGTGATAGTGAGATGTAGGTAGAAAAGGAGGACAAGTTGCACCTAGAAGTGACGGAGGTCTCCTTGAACTGAGTGGTAGAATTCACCCCGAGTCATACCATGAAAGTAAAGAGAGAAATAACAGAACGGGAGATGGTGATGTTGATTGACAGTGGGGCTACCCAAAATTTCATCTCCAACCAGCTCGTGGACCAATTGGAGGGGGTGTCACTCATCAAGTCAGGCCTTACCGCTATCCTCAATTTCAGAAGGACGAAATTGAGAAATAGATCAGAAAAATGCTGGAAGCAGGGATTACGAGGCCTAGTGTAAGTCTTTTTTTCTAGCCCAATCTTACTGGTTAAGAAAAAAGAAGGGAGTTAGAGATTTTGCGTGAACTACCTGGCCTTGAATAAGAAAACGGTGCTATGCAAGTTTTCCATCCTAGTGATAGATGAGTTATTGGATGAGTTGTGCGGAGCAATTATCTTCACAAAGATAAATATGAAGTCAGGATACCATCAAATCCGGATGAGAGGGGAGGATGTTTTGAATATCGCTTTCAGAACGCATGATAGACACTATGAGTTTCTAGTGATGCCATTAGACCTCACCAATGCCCCGGCTACATTCCAGTTCCTCATGAACAGGGTATTTCGACCATATCTTAGGTGGTTTGTACTGTTTTTCTTTGATGATATCCTGGTGTACAATAGGTCGGACGAGGAACATTGGGAGCACTTAAGGACGGTCCTAGAGATGTTACAGGAGCAGTTGAGGGCCACTATGAAGAAGTGTTGCTGTGTACGGGTCAGTGTGGAGTACTTTGACACGTTGTATCTCAGGAGGGATGGTCGTAGATCAGGCTAAGATCGAGGCAATGTTGAGATGGCCACTACCGAGGAATCTGAGAGAGCTAAGGGAATTCCTAGGACTGATGGGATGCTACAAAAGATTTGTGAGGGGCTACGGCATCTTCGCCTGGCCACTAACAGAACAGTTGAAGAAGGATTTCTTGCGGGGGAAGGAAGCTACTGTGGCTTTTCAGAGATTGAAGAAAGCCATGACTACCATACCAGTCTTAGCACTAGCAAATTTCAGTCAGGTGTTCAAGGTAGAGATTGACGCATATGGATTGGGAGCAGTCCTTACTTCAACCAGGTGCTGACAGCTAGAGCCAGACTGAAGTAAGTCTACGAGAGGGATTTGATGGCTATTGTGCTAGCCATCTAGAAGTGAGGACCTAACTTGTTAGGTCGACATTCCATTGTTACGACAAACCAGTAGAGCTTGAAGTATTTGTAGGAATAAAGGATGGTGCAGGAGCACCATAGGTAGTTGTCCAAGCTGTTGGGTTATGACTTGAAATCCGGTACATGCCAAGATTAGAGAATAATGCGGCAGACACATTATCTAGATGCATGGGGGAGCTCTAGGGGATGACAATTTCAACACTACTGATGGTAGATTGGGGAGCGATCAAAGAGGAGAGTGTACAGAATGAAGAGCTAAGGAAGATCAAGATCGATCCAATCAGAGATGAGAATAGCCAACCTGGCTATTCCATAGAGGGAGACTGATTACTATGCCAAGGAAGGATATTATTAATTATAATTTAAAAATTGTTATCAATTATATTAGATTAATTAAATTATATTTATTATATATTAATATTACAAAAAAAATTCATTAATTAAATATTAAAATAATAAAATATAGAAGAAGTTATTTAACCTCCAATCAATCTGTCTAGGGTTTGCTTTTGCTTGTCGGCTTGTTGCTTTCACTTCAGGTACTTTGCATGAACTAGAGTTTGGATAATAGCTAAAAGCTTTGTCACCTCGTTCGACGGTGACGTTGCTCCTGTCAGATTAGATGTCACGACAGCAAAAATGATTTTTCTCCTCTTTCGTGTGCTTCTTTGGCCATATATCATAATAAATATGTTAAATAAGATAAAATGGGAGAAAAATACTTTGTAGTGGAGCTTCGACTTACAGTGAGATTTTTAATTTTGTCGTTTTGGCATTTGGCAGGATTTAACTCAAATCTGGCATCCAACAGGCCCTGACACTTAGGACAACGAAAGGGGAAGGCAACTAGAGGTTGTGAGAGAAGGCGCAATGAGATATTGTCAGAGAAAGTATTACACGGAAAATAATTGTGTAAGTTACAGAAAAGGATGGGTAATATTTTATTGAAGACAAAAATCAAATGTTATGGTCATTCATTTCCATCATTAATATAGAGGCCATTTGGGAGCATCATTATAGGCTAGGTCATTTCTCTTTTAAAATTCTATAATATATATTTTCTTTATTTTTGAATGTAAACATGAAAAAATTTTATTGTAAGACTTGTCTAATTGGCAAACATCTTCGTGTTATTTTACATGAAGGTGATTCTAGATCATCAATACATTTTCAATTTTTTTCCTATGACATATTGTGGCCTTCCAAACTCCAAATATTTTAGAAGCTGTAGGGTTGGTCACGTTTATTAATGAATATACTCAAATGATATGTATATATCATATCAAATATATATTTAATAATAGTAATATTTTCTCCAATTTAGAACAATTCTACAAAAAAAATTGATTCGAGAAAGATATTTTGGATTGATAATGCTCTTGATTAAATTAATCATACATTAGCATATTTCTTCCATAAAGAAGGTAAATTCCACTAACCTTTTGTTTGGATACTTCTTAATAAAATAAAGTGGTAGAATGAAAAAAACGACCATTATCTGGGAGTCATCATAACTCTTCTCTTTCAAAATATAGGGTTAAAAAAACTAAGGAGAATCAATCTTAATTGCAACATATCTAATTAATAGAATATCCTTAAGAGTGATGGGCTTCAAAAGTCCTATAAATTCTTTGATTGAATTCTTTCGCACAAATAACATCATCTAAAAAAATTTTAGGTGCATTGCCTATGTCCACATCCACAAACAACACAGGGGTAAACTTCATCCTAGGCTCCTAGCTCTCAAATGTGTTTTTATTAGATGTTTCTCCACAAAAATGACTATAAATATTATAATTCTATTAATAAAAAATAAAAACTTCTTTGAGCAATGAGAAACATTTGTATTGAAACTTTCATAGAAAATACAAATCCCCAAACTACACCACTTATACTTGCATTTTTGTGTCATTTTTTTCCTTTCAAAATCTACTAATTTTGCTCATGAGTATCTCAAATAAAAATTTTACTTTATTTTTTCAAATTTCATATGAGTTGTGGTACATCCACTTCTAATTTGAGTAGTTGTTCAATTTTCTTTTTCACATGGCTTTATAGCAATCAATGGATGCCTCTCATAGAAGGGAAGAAACATAGTGTCATGGGAGATATGAAGGTGGTGCTTGAGGAAGCTTATATAGACAAGGCACATACCTAATAGTTGCAAGTGATTGTCTATAAGAGTAACATATGAGGTAAGATATTAAACTAAACTTAACCCACTTATCTTAGATCCAAAGGTAAAACATGTGAGGATTTAAAAATTTCATCCATTAATTGCAACTAATATTTGTAGAAAACGTTCAAAGGCATGAGAACAAATTTATTGTAAGGAATTTGTTGTAACAATTTATATAAAGAAAGTATAACATAATGAGACATTTGAAAACATAAATGATAATCATGGTGATCAAGGAAAGAGGGAAAATAAGAATTCTATCATTGACAAAATAGTTGCATTTCATTTTCAAGAAGATAAGTAGACAACTGCAATCTAACAAGGCATTTCATGTTCAAGAAGATAACTCTAATCTACCTCAACATTTCTCTTATAAGGCATAACTTATTAACTTCAATGCAGCTTGACACCTCACTAAAGTAAGTCAACATCAATACAACTACAAAATATTGTAAACAATATAAATTCACATATACACTATACATGCATGCTGATATGTGTGTGCAAGCTTGGATTTACACTTCCCTAAAGACAACTAAATGCAGGTGCATGCACACACACATGAAAACATATGGGCTTGAGTATATAGTATATTGATACACGTAAATGCCCCAAAACATCCACTATTAGAGGAACATAAAACATTGACACTAGATTGCATCCGGATATGTAGGAAAACTCCTGTGCTTGTTCCTATAACAATTTACATAATGTAGAGTATGAACGCAAGCAAAGAAAAGAGATGGTTACTTGCTTTCCTTAAATATAAAGATACAAAACTTATATTAAAATTCAATTGATAATGAAATAAGCCAAATAATCCGAGGAAATAAACCCAGATTTAGAACCACATAAAATTTAGCAAGCAATTATATTTTAATTTTCACAGCTAAATTTTCGATATGCCAACATGTGCAGAAAATTAGGTGCACAAACAAGCCAATGTTAAACTTACAGATGAAGTAAGGACAAAGTAAGGGCGGTAGAGGAAAAAATAAATTTTGACATAAAAGGAGAAATGGGAGCTTCAGCAATGAATCATAAAAGGTTTAGGCATTGAAATATCGCATGCGACAAAACCCTATGGGGCTGTTTGGATGCAGGATTTATACCGGATTTGAAGCGGATTTGACCTAAATCCAGCTGAACGGCCAAAAATGTAAAACCAAATCTCACCGTAAATCAAAGCCCGGTTGACGGAAAATTCCCTCTTTTCGTGGTAAATTCCGGATTTACGAAATCCTTTGGTTCGGCAGATTTACGGGATTTGGCCGAAGAAGCGCGCGAAAGGGAGAAAGTTACCTTCACAGCAAGCGAGCTCCCGTTGTTGCTTCCGATCAAAATATGTCGTTACTTCCGATCCAACAGGAAGGGAACGTCGTCGAAGGAGCGGTCGAACAGCGACGACGAAGAATAACTCGTGCAAATCTCAACACTCATGCGACGAAGCCGAACGAAATAGAGAGGGAAAGGCAAAACCTAGACTCTAAGTTATTGTTGGATAACTTAATTAATATATAATTTAAAATATTAATAATTAAATAATTAATACGATTATTAGTTAAAATACTTAATTATCTCAAAATAATTAATAGGATTAAATGATTTTAAATGAAAATAATTATTATAAAATATTATAGTAATAATTAAATAATAAATTAGTATTAACAAAAAATATATATTTAATTTAAACTTATCTTATTATACTTTAATTATAATAGAAATAAATCACAAATCTCTTAATTGCTTTCAATATTGAATTGAATTGAGAAACAGTTACACGGGATTTATTAGGATTTTTTATTGAATGTTATCAAACAGTTTTGAGGATTCAACATCCTTAGAATTTTGTAAATCCGTATTTAGAGGATTTGTGAAATCCTACTTAAATTATATATTTGGTGCATCCAAACAGCCCCTTTGTGTGAAATGTCGGATGCAAGGCATATGAAAAAACTATATCCAAATGTCACACATAGATTAAGCATTCACCACACTCCAAATGTCACACAGAGGTGAAGAACTTACATTGGGTCGGAGTGAAGGAGTTGAGCACGTGAGGGAAGCCTTCGGTTCAGTGTTGGCTTCGCAAACAAGCAAGAGAAACTGTGAACGAGCAGGAGACAGCGACGCCCGACCAGAAGAAGATACGTCGAACATGAATCGGAGGAAGATACGATATGTCTGAATGAATTTGTTTTTTTTTTTTTTTTTCCTGTTTCGTATGAGCTTCGCCTTCAAAAATCTGAGCTGTCTTATCTTCACTAAATGACTCAAAATGGGTTGTAGATGAACCTGTCGGTTATCATAAATTGGGACTAGTTTTATGATTCCTCGATCAAACCATCGATTTGAACAGCTCAAAACCAATTATATGCCAAAGCAAGTTTGAAGCAAATCGCAACTAGCCGACCGGCCAGTTCGTGTTAAATCAGTCAAACCGGTCGTTCCAATCAAGTTTTTAAAACATTAGTATTTAGTAGATAAACAATTAGTCGTATTAATTGATAATTAAATTAGATTATAAGTATATTATGTATAATTGTTAGTTATTAATGATAATTAATACTAAAATTAAGAATTAACTCATAAATAACTAAGAGTATAATCAAGACTAGCTTTATTCTTTTATAATTATATTATTAGTAAATTAATTGTCTTAAATTCTAAGTCCTGTTACCAAACAGTTCCAAAATATTTATTACGGCTTAACATCTTCTTTTAAATAGTTTTGAATATTTTATATCGTCAAGATTCAACATCTTAGCTTTAAACTAATCAAATAATTAGCATTATTTAATGATATATATTTATTTAAATATTGAGGTTGGATGGATTATTCCTCAAATTTAGAAGATATTTGGCTACAAGTAGTATTTAGAAAATCTATAAATATTGATTTAGTAAAATTTAAGTTAGTTAATTCAAATACGATTTAATAATACCAAATTACTTGTTAGTATTTTGCAGTTGATTAATGCTAATTTTGAAGATTAATTTATTTGTATCTAATTTACATGATAAAATATTACTTATTCTAACTTAACTTTTTTTTATTGATCATAATAAGATTAATTAAATTATACTTATTATATATTAATTGTTTAATTAATTATTAATTAAATATTAAAACTAATAAAACACGCAATTTTATTATTTAAAAGTAACCCTTTTTCCATAAATTTAATAAAACACAAAAACTAAAAAATTTGATTTCCCGCATGATTTAATATTGTCGTGACATGTAAAGAAAATTAGCATTATTTTTATAAAAAAATTACATAAGAAATTTAGCATTATTTTTATAAAAAATAATTCATAACAATTCTATGATTTAACATGCAAGAATATTCTTTAGGCTTCGTTCGGAATAAATTTTCTTATAAAAATTTGTACTCTAGCTACAATATCTTATCAAAGGCCCAAACAAAGGTCACTCCTGAACGGCTTGCTTTTCCTCGACTCAAACGGCATGTTTCGTTTTCTCCTTTGCTACTATCTCACTACTCGTGACTCGTACGTGACCTCGAGCAAAACTTTTGTTTTCCTTTTCGCTCCTCTCTTGCCATGTTTTTTTTTTCCGCCTCTCTCAACATATTATTTGCATTATTAATTTTGATCTTAGAGCTCATTTTGGCTCTAGTAATAAGTTGGTAAACATAACTATTTTAATATATTATAACATTCCAAATGATATGGCAAACCGCTAGAAAATTGACCATAGGGAAACCGCTGGAAAATTCACCGTCGATAATGGATGTTTTTTTGTAGTGTTTAATTTAGACCATAGGGAAACCACACATGAAGTTTACTAATTGTGTATGATGTTTCTATAGTGATCGATATACATATAAGGGTCATAAGTAGTCACATCACATCGATTAATTGCGAACAATCTAAACCCTAATGGAATATAATGTTGGAGAATTGCATCATTTATAGATGAAAAATATTGAAATCTATAATGGGAGATAAGTTGTTTTATTTTTATTTTTATTTTTTCTGTCAAAGGAATTTCAGTTGAACAATATGTCATAGATCATCAATAAATAGATATTGATTTGAGTCCTCCATAGCTAGTGGAGGATCACATATTGGCCCAACAATAAAGGAAGGATGACTTCAACTAATAGTGCACATGAGATCATGATGAGTCTCGATACATAGGGAATTGCAGCATGAGAAGGTACTATTATAGTGAAATCAAATAGACCAAAATTAATGTTGATTTTTGGTGAGAGAACTCCATCATGATGTGAAATGATTGTAATTATAGTCTCCTACAAGAGTTTTAGGATTTAAACTTGAACTCCTTCCATTCTATGCATTTGATCATCCAAAATGAAGTATAGGTGGCTTTCATCACCCATATTTGTTCTCGTTTATTGAAAATTTGATTGTCGACCATTGAAAAATAACATGTTGAAAATATTCTCATACACGACTCCACATTATTACGTGTTAGAAAATTTGTGATAATAGATTGTTTAATACTTTTGTTTTTTAGAAAGATCCAGCATGGATACATAAATTTTGTAATTAAAAATATAAATTTTTGAGTGAAAATATAGAAAAAATAAAAAAAAATCATGGGCCATAGATGGGTGTTTTGATAAAGTTAGTTATAATCCATAGTGACCCCCTTAATTATATATTATTTTTTTAGTATTTAAGTTTCTTTATGTGATATCTCAAGGATTAGTATAAAGTTCAACATGTTCTAACTAGATCTTAAAAATGTAATACTCTAAATTTTTGCATTTAAACTCTTCTATATGTATATGAAAATATTATGTGTGCATGTTAAGTCTAATTGTGTTCTAAAATGATTTATTGACGTTGGGGTTGACAACCCTTGCGCACTAAGCTCTATGGAATTTTGCAAAATAATTTAGCGCATCCGTGTTGGAGGCTCGTTGCGATGCTATGGGTACTCTAAAGGAGTGTTGTGGTTGGCGCCATAGAGCTAGACCGAATTTTAATTATATATATATATATATATATATATATACCAAATTTTAATAATAATAATAATAATAATATATACATATATTTTGCATTGGCTAGAGAGGAAATAGGGATTTCTAGTGAGAAAGATTATTTTAGGTTATTTTCAATTGACTGTCAAGTTATGAAAGTTGCTCAGATCGATGTATGTTATATTTTATCTATTTCAATTTCAAAAATACTAAAATTTACTTTTTAATTTATATGTGTTTAATTTAAAATTGAGGATAACTTTGTACGAGCATAATTCTTATAGTACAGCTTTCTGTATATTATAGAAATAGTGATTATGTATATTTAGATATTTTCTAGAAATTTTAAACCAAAGTATTTATGAATTATGATATTTTAGTTGATTAGAAAAAAATTCTAACATAAAAAAATAAGGTTGTAATATAATTAAAGCTTCAAGATAATATTTAGAACAATCTTGTATATTTTGATTATGTTATGAAATAACGTTTTTTTTCTCAATAATATGTTTAGTTGCCAACTATTACAGTACTTTTCGAAATTCTAATACGTGTCTATTTATATTTTAATCATTGCAATTTAATGAATTATATGCTTAATTGGTTAAAATGAACGATCCTATGAAAATTTGGTGTGGGTGGAAGAAGTTATATTACAGTGCTTATGTGCATATTCTAGTGTTATATCCACATTATGTTTTGGTGCTGACATTGTGAAGCATAAGGGTTGAAAACAAATTTATTACTTTTTGTTTTGATATACAAGGTACCTGATTATTTACTTTTCTTCAATGCTATATAAGTTTTCTCATAACTACTAGTATAATTATATTTAATATAATGATTTAGTATAAATTAGTTTAAACTCAGCTCCACTTCTGATAAATGAATTATTGAAAATTTATATCGGTGAATGTGGTCTTATGAGTTGTCTACAAGTGTTAGCTCACTATTATTTCGCCTTAAATTTTCAATGTTCGGGAAAGAGAAAAGCTAGTTGATTCATGATTTCATAATTTGAGCTGAGTATGTATATGCGTTCCTTTCTTTGATTTCTATATAGTTATGGTTTGTTATTTATTATGCTTTGCTTTGTTCTGTGTTCCTATCATTATTCATGAATTGTAGTGTAATCATTATATATTCATTTAGATGAAGAAACGAAACGAGAATTTATAAATGAGCTTATTATCAATGCAATAGATGTTTTTTATGTGGTTTGTATTTAATTTTAAAGTTAGAAATTGGAAGGAATCTTCAAAAAAATTAAAAAATTTAGATCTTACAATTGGCCTATTGCAAACCAATATGATAAGACATGTTCCATATGTGAGTTTTATTAGATTGAGTTGTAACAAGCCATTTTGGTATCAAAGCAGTCATTTGGAAATTGATTGTAAAATAGAGCAATATGAAATTGGTTTATAAATTAAGTGAAGTGATTTTGGGTATGTGTCAACATTCATTATTGTTTGTGTTTAATGT